TATTTTCAACGTCCTACCTGTTCGCTCGATCGCTGGCAAGAATTTTCCTTTCGCGACGATCTCTCGTGTGCAGAGTCGGTTGCACCTTGCGAACGAGGCATTGAGGTTTGGATCTGGCTTATCATCATTGCAGGTCGGTTGGACGCTTGGCAGGACATTCGACAGGGCGTGACCCAAGAAACCAGCATGGTACCATGTAGATGTAGAATTTCTCGTGCAACATTGAGGTCATATGTTGGCATATTCGACTTGCTTGCTGCTAGCCGTTGAACGAGAAGGATGTGGCTTTCGTGATGCTTGAAACCGAACAGGAATACCTCGCTTCGCAACAGCTGTTGTCACGCTAGAAATGTGTGACGAGTTTTCGCAGGGGTAGTCCTCACCTCGACTGGGACAAGCATTGGGAACGGCTGCAGGCAGCGGACACGGTTCGGTACTTCAAGTCATCATGTCTGTCAGTCTCTTGTTACGAAGATTGTGCTTCGGTATCGAGAGGCTGGATGTTTGTTCAGCCTAGCAAGAGGCGCTTTCGCTGCAAGCAAATATCTAGGAAGGTTTCTGCAATGGACTTTGGCATGGTTCGCCATGGTTTCCTGTGCCCATTCAATCTGCGATCTGCTGCTATGCGATGTCTCTTCCAGTCTGCAGCTTCTCCCTGTGCTTCCAGCCGTGGCGAAGACGAGGTTCAAGCCTTGAAAGAGGATGGATTGCAGCTTTCGGTTTGGGGGTCTTCCTCCTGCGACGCGCTGCGCAACTTTTACCCTGACTTTACCACGAAATCGAACACAGTCTGGGCTGCTAAGCGCCTTCAAGCCTCGGCCGAAGTTAGCTCCTCGAAGCCATCACAATCCTAGATTCCAGTCACAACTGTTGGCAGAGATCTTCGCGGCTTATTCTACTGTTTGCTACTTGCTTGAAGTCAAACAGTGCATTTCGTAGATCGGTTCGCCGATCGGCTTTTGGCCGGTATGAATGCATTTGCGAATGTCGTCCTTTGGGGTCTGAGTCCATGTCACGTGTCTTGCGGCAAAAGCGCTAAGTCTCGCTTCCTTTCGTCCTCGACTGTCAAAGGATGTCTTGGGTCTCTAGCACTAATGTGCTTTCATGGTCTGGGTCATGAGTTTGCGTACCTTGGAAGCGGCTGCTCCTCTCTTCGCCACGCAGGCTTAATACCGCCTTCAAGCTTGCAGTAGTTTCAAGTCAGACAGGCTACCAGCCCCGGAAACACCACTTCGGAGACTTCTGCTTGAAGGTTTGTGACAGCTCGAGCAGAACTTCCCTTAGCTCTCCAGGGCACACTTCCTTGGAATTGTCCAGGAGCCGCAACTCCCGGCCCCCTTGAAACCACTTGGAGTATCGGGGAGCCGGGGATGCAGAGAAGGCGGGCGAGGCTGTTGAAAGCCCCGTGGAGCCTGACTATGCCAGGAAAATGCTTCGCTCTGCGATCGGACATGCAAGCTTGAAACCAGCATACAGGCAAGCTCTGTACAGTCTTATGTCGACTATGTTCACCGGTACCTGTCCGCGCAGAGCCTGTCAGTGCAGTTTGAAGGAAGAAGCTGCTTTGGCCAGGGGCTGTTAGCACATCCGAGCCGAGAATGCACATGAGTTGTTATCCTCTTCGTTGTCAAAGCGGCAACGACGCCCCGAACATGGCAAGCAGCATTGCGTTGCCCTAAGCCGGCGCGCGTTTCTTGTTTGAAGTAGAGGTCGGCGGCGCAGTGCGTCTAGAGCGTCTAGGGTCGAAGAATGGGGCTAAGTCGTTGGCCTTTTTCGTTACTTCATCGATTCATGATGAGACAGACAAGAACAAGAGTTTGAGAACCTCAACTTAGTCGCCCGAACATAAAACCGTGGCCTGAAGCATAGAGGTCAAATCGCAACACACTTGAGTCTCAAGAATGCGGGCGCTAGAAAGTTTGTGGTTGGAAGATGGTTTGTCGTTTCTTTACTTGGGCTTAAGATGTCATATTTTACTCTTATCGTTCGGCGAGGTGATTAGATTGTCGCATGTCGTCTGGCATCGATGTTCCTCCGCCAGTCTCAGACCTGCTCACACTCGCCTCGTGCAACAACGTTGTGGGCGATCCTAGGAGACACATTGCATAGGATTTCAGGCTCTTTGAGGAAATGCAAACCACTCTGCGCTTGTATAGACACTGAAACCTTACGAAACTTGGTCGACCGACCGCGCTGCCAACCTGCCTTGCGCAAGCCATTTGCTTGCTTGCTTGCTTTTCTGCTGGGTACGCTGCATCCGGCGCCAGTGAAAGGTGCTTTGGATGAGCTGGCGCTTGAGCTGGAAGGTACTTAGAGCCGATGATTTCGGATTCAAATTCTGCCGGTGAGACCGTGCTGGGTGAATGAATGAATGCAGAGCAATTCTGTTGCAATGCGCACCGCGTGAACTTCACGGCGTGAACATAGTGCACAAGCTGAACGTGCGCGCCCCAAGGATAGCAAAGCCGGCTGAGCAAAACAACGCCTTCCTCCCAGCAACATCTCCGCAACCAGAAAAAATGAATAACATCGGTTTTCACACATGTGTAAATCAATTGTATGGACAAGCATATGGCCGCTGCTCTTTCAACAAGCTCCCGAGGGTATGACCGAATCATCGGCACAAGCTGGGATTCTGATTTCTGGATGATGCTGAAGGTGCAGGCGGGTGATCTTTTGCATTAAGGCTTCGATCGGTTTGGGGACACGAGGGTTACCTGGATGAAGATGTAAGTGCAACATGACAAGAATGAGGGTCAATGGAGCTCACACCAAGACTGTGTGGCTGTCCAGCAAATCCTCAAGTTCGATATCGTTAGTCTCAAGCGCACAGCCCATCAAATTTTGATTTCAACATCGCCTCGCCTCAGCGCTATACAGAGCTACAGAGGCAGGGAAGAATGGAGCTGATCTGGGCTTTTACACCTAGACATCTTGACGGAAGACTTTGAAAGAGCATGTGCTTTTGCTTCATCTTAGCTACCAGATCCTCACCTTTCTTCCGTGATTTGCGCGTTCAGCGCGGAATTCAATAGTGGCCGCTCCATTGCACAGCGGATGGGGAAAGTGATGCTGCGTTTGGTCTGGGAGAATCAGCTGCAACGTGGCGCGGGATCCCAAGACCTCCGCGCAGCGACTGATCTCCTCTGCAATGTGCTGGGCTGGCTGCTGGTGCAGGAAACATTTCAGGTGGCTGAGACGGCTGAGAGAGGGAGCAAGGTCATGCAATCATGGAGGCGGGCTCATCTGAGCCTCGCGCCCTTGCCTTGTTCGGGTACTCTCCACGTAGCAGTTGGAACGCTGATGGGTGGCAGAGACATGGGTCACGACTTGTATAAGAACAACGGCTTTCGAAGTAAAGAGGGGATCAGGTTGCACAGCTCCCGCTTTCGCATTGGAATAGGAGCAGTTTGTAGCTGTAGCAGTTGCAATAGTCGTGCTCGTTCTTGTCTTTCGTCGGCTCGTCGTATTAGTCGTCGAACTCGTCGTGGCCCTAGTCATGGCAGTGGCAGCGGTAGTGGTCGTGTGGTAGTTGTAGTGAAAGTGGCAGTGGTAGTCGTAGTGGTAGTGGCAGTGGCAGTGGCAGTGGTAGTCGTCGTCGTTGTCGTCGTTGTCGTCGTCGTCGTCGTCGTCGTCGTCGTCCTCGTCGTCATTGTCGTCGTCGTCGTCGGTTGTAGTCGTCGCCGTAGTAGTCGTCGTAGTAGTACTAGTCGTCGTAGCATCCGTAGTAGTCGTAGAAGGTAGTATACACAGCACTAGTATTACTAGCCGTGGGAGTAGCAATAGCAGTAACAGGAGCAGGAGGTGGTAGTCGTGGTGGTGGTGGTCTTCGGTTGCGCAGCACCCTTCGACCTCAATCCCACACCATCAGATTCCCAAATTCTCTCAGATCGTGAATCGGCATCCAACCAGCGCCAAACTCGTTTGCTTGTCTACCGGCGCCCGCATCGTGCGATGCAAACTCCGATGGATCCCATGCTTCTGGGAGAAAAGAATGATGGGATGGCTCAACCTCTCAGGTAACTTGTTGAGAGGAAGTTCCAAGCCAGCTGTTTCCGGAACTTATGTGGGTTATGCTCAGTCCCGCCTCATTGCCTGCGTGCTCAGACTAGCCAGGTGCAGAGCTGCAGGTTCTTGCATCTGAATTTCGGCGGCCGACTCTTCCGTCTGGGGGTTTGGAACTGGTATATACTTCCACTGCGCAACAGGCGACACACGAAGGCTTGGGTCCCAGTGGTAAGTTGTTCTGTTGGCGGATACTGTGTACCACTATTCCGGGAGTCTTTAAAATCATTGTTGCTTTCGATGCGCTCGGTTTTTCGATGTAGGATATGTCAGCTTCACAGTGCAGCCGGTCGCATGGAAAGTGGGAGTGATCTGACTAGAGTAACATCTGGGTTGCTTCACCGCAAGCCCTTCTTCGTTTTGACACGTTGTCGTACCCCACGAGGAGTAGCTGGACCAGACAGTGCATCTTCAGAACTAGCTATCGCTTCAAACATATTTGTCTCAGAAATGTGCGATATTCCCGCGTTGCATGATCGGAAACATCGGACAGGACATGCAAGGCTGAGGTCTGCTTCGGTCCTAAGACTTCGTTACACGCTGTGGGAGCAGCTCGGATGCAGTTGCTGACTTCTCGGGGGTGCCCGTGGGCTGACGGCTTGACACTTTGCAAACGATGCGCAACTCTGGACGAATGTTAATGCAGAGCCATACAGCCGCCCTCGTGCGTCATACGTAGGAGAAGATTTTTGTGGGCGATTGAAACAGATTGTCGCGTAGCTGCACATGATGAGGCGTTGAGCAGGGAGGGCGCATGTGTTTCGGGCTGGGCTGCCGAGGGAATATCGAGTGAGCCGCGCAGGGGCACCACATTGCCGTCGTTAATGGCTTTCGGACGGTTGTCTTGCAACCCAAAACAGACGTAGTTCGCGTGATATGCACTTCCTGACCGAAGCCTGGGCTGAGCCAGAACATCTCGGAGCTCCCACGCAGCCATGGCAGCCATCCCTTGGAATGAACGCACCCTTTTCACTCCAGTGGAGTCAGGCTGCAGCGGGGTGTGAGGGAAGAGACCAAGCAGGAGGAGGTAGACTGAAGAGTTGGCCTAGGCATTGAAGTCGCCAATCTCCAAAATAACACATTGCAGCAGTTTATCTTTACGCAACCTTTCTATTTACAGAGAGCTCACGCACTCCTAAACTGGCTGGAGCTCAAGCATGAGGGCATGAGGGTCCGGGGTGGTCTGTGAGTCTACAGACGGCGTGCCGGTAGCCACAAAAAAAGAAGCTGGAAGAACCCTCCTACAAACCTCTCGAAAACAAAGGAGAAGCGTGCGGGCA